GGACCATTCCGCTACTATCGAAACGCTTAAGCAATTAACTTCAGACTTCCTCTCTTTTAATTAGCCTTCAATTTCAAGAAAATGTAGAAATTATTGACCGTAAAAGTGTCGATGGTTTCGTTAATTGAAACTCATTACATTCGAAATATTAATAAGAATCATTAAAATTTACACCATACAAAATACTCGTGTCATTTCTTCTACGTCCAGACGAGGTCTCTTGCCCGGACTCGCCACTCGACTTTTGTTTTCCTTCTGCTGAAAGTCGCGGTAATAACCAGATAAATATGCAAATTTATTCACCGTGGTAATTTGTCGCACGCATGACTGCTTAATATTTAATCCACGAACGCGACCACGATAGTATTCACGCTACGAAATTGTAAATTCGGCCAAGGAGCACGTTGGTACCGTCGCGTGCTTCGTTCCTCCTCCTTTTTAACCAAAATGATACACGTGATTTCTTCTTATTCCTCTTCCTCTTCTTTTTCTCTTGATCCTTTAGAAAATAATTCCGGTTTGCTTATTTTTTTGAATAATCACGTCTTATTCGTTTATCGATCGATCTCGAGATTAGATATATCACGTGGGACTAAGAACTGAAGACATGCGAATTTTTTTTGAAAATTTATTTACCTGAGAAGCTTATGGTTTCAATGTCTTTTTAAATAAATATATTTCTTTTTTTCTTTGCAAAATTGGAATTTTAGTCAGAAGCAACGATTGAGATATATTTTCTTTTCGAGAGGATTGGAATTTTAGTACGAAGTAACGAATCCATTTTTAACACCAGTTCAAATTATTTTATTTCTGCAATTAGTGGAAGCATTAAATTAAAGATAATTTTTATTTACATGATTTTAATATTAAGTACTTTAAATTTTTATAAAAGCGCATTAGGAAGGAAATGATTAGGAGAGACTATGCTATATGTAGTTGGTATCAGATTCGAAAACTTAATGTGATATTTATTTATCAGAAAAATTCCTGATACAGACGCAGTCACTCAGGAATAACATTAATTAACTTATTTCTAAAGATATATTTAATCTCGGAGAATCATGTTTCGTGGACGTAGTTATGGCAGACATTAGTGTAAACTTGTTTAATTCATGTACTTACACACAGCACGTTTTTCCTGTTGCGGACTAGAAATCGAATGAAAATTTCATTAGCCTCCTTCAAGGATAACGTAGTCTTGGACTCCTTCGTAAGAAGCTTCCTGAATTACGCGTCGAAAATTTCGAGATCTGTAATTAGTTATTAGACTCAAGCAGCTGATTAAATTTAAGATATCGCTCTATTAAAATTGAAAAAATTAAAACGAAGAGAAATTCGTGATTCAAAATTAAATTTACCATTTCGATCGTAAGGCCTGAATGATAATTTTTCCGTTCATACTTTTCTCGTTCGGTCAAAAGTATTCTTGTCTAAACCAAAATGCCGAAATTAAACGAACGAAACAATTCTCTCGCTAAATGAACACGCGACAACCGAAACTTCGCCATTTCATAAGAGAAAACGCCGTAAAAGCATCATCTCCGTGGCAAATTACAGCCATAACCTCAATTTTCGCTATCGAATAACCACTCCCGAATCCACGTAAACTGGCCTGAATTAATACCGTGTAGAACGAGAGAGTAAACTCTAAAAAGAGGGAAAAAATGTGTAAACGGTCACGTTTTTGCTGGTTTCGCTCGAAATACCTCGTAATTATATAACGCGAGCATGTCATGATTTATCAGACGCGTTCGCTCATTAGACGGAAACATTAATCGGGCTATGAATATTTCTCGATCGATGAGCAATATCATTTATCGTAACTGATTTCGCGTATGCATAAATTAATCGCGTCGTAAGACGCCGGACCGTTCCGAGTTTCCTCGACGCACGCGATATAAACGCGTTCATTAGCGATTGTTGTTTGAATCGCTGCCAGTTTCCCGCCCGTTCGGCTCACCTGCGCCAATCGATTACGCGCGCGTCCGCTTCTTGCGCGCTCTGGATCCCCGGAGATCCTCGTTTTTGCCGATCTAGTGATCGGTAATCGACCAACAGACTGTGTTTAAGATGTCGTTACACAGTCGTTCCTATATTTCCTGCTAAATGGCGTGAAGTGTCGTGGGAATGATAATTTATTCCGACGCGTGAGAGAGAAAATGGACGACGGTGTAGTAGAAGGATAATTGGCCGATAATTGATGCCTTTAAAGGCTTGTTTTTCTACATTTAAGTTGATTATTTTTTGCGCAGCCCGATAGTAAATGTGTTTTTATCACTGCATTTACCACGATAATAATCGGTGAATGAGAAAATGGAGGGAGCAGAAGTATAAAGAACACGGATGAAATAATATTGGCATATTGATTATGCATGTTTATATGCATTATGTTGCATGTTTTATTTATATGCTAAAAATAGTCGCGAATTCTAGTGATCAGAATATTAATGTTAAACGCAGAATTTGTGGTTAGAAGTTTGAAAACGGTTCTTAGCTTCGATGCGAGTTTAATGTTAGTGTCGGTTGGTTAATAATTGAAATTTAACTGAGTTTTGGAAATCCTTTTGTTGGTTTTAATTTATTCATTCATGATTATTAGGTTATCAATTTTTTTATCTTCACGAGTGTTCAATGGTTTTCGCCAAATCATTATGTATAGCGCGGTTTTAGTAGCAATTGGTTGATAATTAGGTGTACTTTAATATTTATCGAGTTCTGATGATGATTGATTAATAATTCACAATTAGACAGTGCGTTTTCATTATTTTTTTGTATTTTTTGCTTTACTATAATATGCAAGATAATTCATGTGGCAATTAATTGTTAATTCGTAGTCAATTGATTCGTTTCGACAAATTTTCAATGCTTTTTGCTAAATTATAATACACAGCTGGATTGCAATACTAGTTTTCTAGTAATTGATATTTAATTAGTTTATCTCCACAAATTTTCAATGTTTTCTCACCGAATTACAGTGTAATTCTAATAATAATTTCATCGATATATTTTTGATAAATTATACGACATATGTCAAAATCGTGAAACTAATTATCCCGTAACTTCGATTTAATTACAGTGCTTTTATCTTATCTTTGACTTTTTTCTGTCCAAAGTATAATAAATTACGTGATTGCAGGAATAGTTTGTCGATAATTAATAGTTGATTCGATCTCGTCAAACTTCGACATCTTTCTTGTCGAATCAGAACATACAGCGCGATTTTAATTATAACTAACCGATAAATAAAATTCAATTTGCAATTTTACACAAAATTACAATACTCCTTGGTATATGCAACGATTTCAATAGCAATTTGCTAATATGAAACGTGTAATTAACAGTCACCGGAAGATTTAGATAACTTCTTATAAATTACAACATTCGACTAATTATTAATAGCCTTCATGAATTTTCGATTTTTCCTTTTATATTATAACATATAATGCGATTTTAATAGTAATTAATCCGTCGGTTTATGTCTGCAGCTTTGATAAATTATTTGGTTTACAGTTCTGTTCGAACGCATAAAAATATCGTACCGTGGAAACTTTCGCATTCTTTAGAAGCGCTATTACTCACAGAAACTAATCAACACTGTCACAACTTCAAATTCCAATACGAGAAGTACGATAGAAAATATTTGGTTAAAGAAAAATAACGTTTTTCTTGAATTCTTTCGTATCTGCCCTTTTTCAATGTCCACCTAAATTCAATAATACAACGGAAAACGTGTTTAACATGTTTATTCATCCAACACAAACGTTTCTTCTGCCTATTAATCCAGAACACCAAATAATTCAGAGAACTTCTTAGCGGCATCTATCTTCCTGATATAAAATTTCTTTCACGAATTTAACTCAGAACGAATCTGTAATTCAACTATGAAAATCACTCTTCATCGGTATACAATTAACCCCTTGCACTGCACAGATGACTCTCAGTCACAGCTTGTTTTAATATCTCGAAGCTTAGGTATGGAATATGAGATGAGAACTAAATTATAAGTAACTGCATATACAATATTGAAACAAATTCCATCTGATTTTCTTCTTTTATTTTAGAGTTTAGAAAAATGCGAGAGAAGCTTCGAATTGTTATATCTACAGAGAGAAAAGTATCTTCGACCGCAATGGATTAATATTTCCAATTACTTCGAGAAACTACCTAATAGAATAGCAAGAAAAATCAAGAATCGAAACACCTAGTTCGGACAGTTCGAATATTCCACTTCGATATATTTTCTAAAAATATTGCAACCAATCTCAAGTCGTTCCTTCCACCCAGTCTTCAGCATACCACGGTACTATTATCTCTTGACACGAAAATCACAGCCCTTTCTCATCCACCAACGTGTCTCCGGGAAGTAACCGCCTATCCAACAGCTCTTCTGACAGGACAGACCATTTAACCGTTCCAACTACGAAAAACGTACATAACGACTGGAATTCGTTGTTCCAATAAGATGCAATTTGTTTATCGAGAAACAAAACCGGTAGAAAAACCGGAACTGAAGCGACACTAGAAACAACACGACGAAGTGCAACTCGTGCATACAACCAATATCCTCTGGACTAGAAATTCAGCTTCTCTCACTAGAACCTTTGTGTTTCTTCTAAATTTCTGCTGGCTGTTTTACGTTCAAGAATTTGGAGAAATAACTCTCTGGCCAGAGATCGTTCTTCAATCGAAGATTAAACACGACGAAGAGCACACTCGCCGGAATACCTCGGCGAATTTTGGTCCCAGCAAACTGACGCCGATCCGACGAGGTAGAATTTTATTTCGCGTTCTCCATTGGCGCGAAAAGGCGCGAAAACGAAATTTACGAGGTTCAACAGACAGACATAACACGGAGATCGTTTAACGATACGTCTGGACGATGTTTACGAGTGTTCGATTTTCGTTTAGATCTCGAGTAGGTGAGGAGTGGGTGTGCTGGCCCTCGAGGAACGATAATGACGACTTCGGCTATGGTTCCATATAAATAGCATTGTATTTCACATATCTCGTGTACACTTTCAATAAATATCTTTCAAATATGTACATAGTGACGAGGGTTTAGGGGAAGAGGGGGACAGTTCGGTTAGGGGGATGAAATTAAGCATAACCCGTAACCGGTGACTCTGACGCGGTCATCGTTCGTGACAAGTTATTCGCGAGTGATCCACGGTAGATTTCTAGCACACGCGACGGGATCTTAAACGCGTTGAACATTATTTCGATCGCTACCGGAAGATCTAGCAACAAGGTCGAGTAACACCGGTTATGAGCTAGGTGTCGTTGATAATTCGAAGTTAGGCTACCGTCGGCGACTCGAAACTGTAACAGAGACTTTCGACGTCGGCGTATTTATGGCACTGGTTCGATCGTCTTCGGGCTACGTGGACCACAAAATCACACACGCGCGATCATTCCCGCTCTGGGGCACACACAGCGCGATTTTTAACGAGATCCTTCGGCGAACGCTTGATCATGGCCCGGCTAGCTTCACCAAGATCCTCCTAACGACGCCCAGGAGCTCGTATGTGCGAGTTTCATCAACTTGCATGGGACTCAGGAAGGATGTCCGAGTGGAAAGAATCTCAGCTTTACGTTCCACACACGATTGCTTCATTGGCCGACTTCACTCGAGCACGAGATGCTTGCTGGCTCGCTGTATAGATCGTCGGGGTTCTTCTCTAGCTTTTCTAGCTACAGCTTTTCCAAAGCGCGACTGTTGGTTAGTAACTCCCTGGTGAGTCTCCACACTTGCTTGGCGGCGTTTTCCAAGCCGGTGGACGACTTGCCCTTAAAAAGATCCAAATTGGGCAGGAAATAGTGTGGACACCTGCGACACTGTAGACAAGAGATCAATTGCAAGAGGATCCCATTGATACGATCCGCGATGCACGTTTCGTCCCATTCCGCTTCGTGAGGGTGCTTCTCGCATTCGTACAACAATAGAGTCTTCATGTGATAGCTGGTGACTGGGTTGCCAGGTAGATCGAGGTGTCTGTCCCTGAGAGTCTTCAGAATGCTCAGGCAACGCTTCCTGCTACCACCCTGCAGTAAACGGTTCTCCGCGTCTATGAAGGATAACGCCCAGGCATCGCCTTCCATGGCCGATTGCTTGCCTTGCAAACCGATACACTCCTTCGACAACATGTCGAAGCCTTCTGTCTTCACCTCTGCTACGATATTCGGGTGCGGCCAGGGTATATGAGCGATCGGCCAGTGAGAGGCCGACCTGGGCCATAGTCCGGCACACTTGAAGGCTGGCGTGATCTGTACCACGTATCTCTCCCTGATACGAAGCTTCACTTCAGTCGTGTCCGCGATCATCTTCACAGAGTCCCTGTAGGCACACTTGTCGCAGGCTTGTGCCACCAGGGTCTGAAATCGCGATCGGATCTTCCGGGCTGACAGGTAACCCGACGCGGTGATGAACTCCACCCAGAGGGACATTGATCTCTTTCGACCGTCGCTGAGCTTCAATACCGCGCATCCAGGCAATGTGCCATCGTCCACGAAATTCAGGACCCCCATTTGATTCAGGTAGATCACGATCTCGAATTCCGTCGGGGAGATCACGTCCAGACCGTCGAATCGGCCGTTGTAGTCGGTCAGAGAGGAGATGAACCTCGGTTCTTGTACCTCGACCTCCTTCAACACGTCCTGAACCACGCGACACACCTCCTGGATCGTCTTCATCACCTGACTCTTCCTGGTCATCACGCGTTCCCCGAAGTACTTGTTGATCTGATATACCATCTTGGACTGGGCCGCCAGCATATCGGCCGGCAACAGCATGGTTGCGGCGGCCTGAAGCCTACGAAGGCTTCTTTGTCGCGGTAGCTACTCTCGATCACCGCATCCTGTCACGGAACCTCCCGATAGACTAACCGTCTCAGCGATTTTAACCAAACGTTCGTTGTCGTTGCCTTTCCATCTGCCCCCCGCGTCTTCCTCCTAACCAACTAATCCCGCGTTCCAAATCGAACTACACGATCGGGAAACTAAATCGAGAATGATCCCGACAATTCTTCGAGGTAGCGACGAATCTCGCGCGTCGCGTTGTCTAAGGACGCGCCGGTCGCTGCGCCGGAGACACGAACGAGAAGCGGAAGGAGAAGGAGTACGAGCGACTCCGTGCCGGAGCAGATAGTCGACTGCGCTTTCGTTCACCTCCTCCGCGCCACCCGCTCTTCGAATCGCAAGGAAGGCGTGCGGTGACGGCCCGGAACGACCCACTCCGACAGGTCACGCCCCGCCCCGCGCGGTTCCGCCAATCGCACGACGCGGCAACCGCGCAGGCGTGGCCTGTCGCGCTGCGCCGACCGGATCGATCCGAGCGACCCGTTCTACCTATACGTTACGGACGCCTCACTGAAGGACGAACGGAGCGGCGGCGGCGGCTAACCCCAAACGCGAACCCCTTTTCCCCCATGAATTATGCAGATCCAACTCGTTTTATTTCGTGCCCATGGATACCGTGGCCACGGCCATTCCTCCGCAACCCCTTCGACCGAACCCCGAAATTTTCGTCATGGTGGAGGACTCTCGGCAATCACGGTTCGCTACCCAGGCCGAAGAGTCCTTCCAGTCTGTAAACCTTTGGCTCGTGACGTATCTTTAACCGTTTCTGGCCGGCGGATTCCCGATCTTCGGCAGATTGGACAAGGTCCCGCGTTCCTTCGTCGCTTCTCCAATGATACTCTGTCGCTATCTATACGACTTCGTTTTATTGGGAACCGGACGCACGCGGCGAAAAAAACTCGGTATAAAATCTACATTTAACGACGACAACGATAACTCTACCATTAAGGCTTGTAAATCGCGGGGGAACCGCGCGAAACGGCGCGCGTAAAGCGTGGCCGCGCGCGAGCGATCGTTCTTAAGTGGCTAACGCTTTCCTCGCGATCCGTTTTTACGGGCCAATAATAATAACGTAAATTCCCCAACGATCGGCTCATAGGAGAGTGAGTGGCACCGGCTAACGAATGTCATTGCGCCGGGTAGATAAGGAAGGAAGTTTCTGGCGAGAATTAAGATAAGGGACACGACTCGCGCCTCGTCGCCGTATAGAGGCCACGAGACGCGGTAGCGATGCCTTTGACGAGGTCGTTCTGGTATCCTGTCAACCCATGCACACGAGTGTTAATGTCGTAGATAATAATTACGCCGTGATGGTTTTTATGTCCTCATCCTCCAAGTGACCGGACGAATATTGAACGGAATCGAGAAATTATACGGGACCCCGTTATCGCGATACGAACTTTATGTATGGCGGGAGCTTTGTTCCGGGTGAGAAAGTTGTCGATGAGGTCTGCAATTCCGACTTATGTCCTCTTACACTTGGTTCCTTTGATTGTCGATTACAAACGGCAGACCTAGTTGTTCAAATTGGCGGTGGTTGTACGCGATCCTTTTCTATCCTTTCACCCTTGCTTGAAAATGGACTGTTGTATTTATATTTGCAAGAAATGTCATCGTTCCTTTTCCAACTATTTTATTTAGAAAAGTTCTTTTATTGAGAAATAATTTAGTTAGGAGATTCAGGGAATTTTGTAGCTTTGTAGTTGACAAACGAAGATTATCACGTGAATTTAGGGATATTTGAATACTTTGTTATTAAGATCTTTGTGGAAGATATATCACTAATCTCCTAGTGATTATAGGTTAATTTTGTTTCATTTTTTTTGATCACTAATAATATCAAGTATTATGTTACTTTTATAAAATTGCGTGAGTCTGGGAAGTTGAGAAAATCTTAGGAATATTTGGGTACCTTCTCGTCAATTGCTAATTTCCAAATGATTTTAGATCAATTAAATTTCTTTTTCGTGGAGTTACTTTCATCAGAGATAACTGAATACCTGAGATAGTAATTAATAATACAATAGCAGTACGCCTGCATCAGGAATTTTGGAATGATTTAATACGTGCAGGATTCATTCGAATGAATCACATGGGCTGTTATTATGAGACGAAATGCGTTTATTAATTATTTACATGATGTGTTCGAACAGCGATTTGAGTAGAAATAAATATCGTTTAAATAATGTAAAAAAGTATGTACATACAACAATATGGTGGTCAAGCTACCGTCGGCAGCTCGATCGCTAGCCGATTATAAACATTAGATTAATTTAACGACAACGGATCACACGACGATTCACATCAGCCATTAGACGAGTAAGAGTAATTAATCGGATACTTAATTAATCGCTTGCATATTTCAACGCTACATAGACAAATCGTTTGGCTCGCGTGAATAAGCAGGAGATTCCGTTCCAAGCGAAAGCTTCAGTCGTATAAAAGAACACGATAACTATTTCCCATAAAATACACCTTCCGGTCTATTCCTTGGACGTCTCGATTGACACCGGACTGGGCAGTTCAAACAAATTTCCTCGACTATACGAAATCGACGTGTAAACCTAGCAACAATTGCCTTCGAGCTAAACGAAACACTGGTAGTACGATATTGCACTGAAACGGAACGTTGCACTGAGAACCAACGCTCGACTCAACCTCGTTCTTGCCACGGCTAGAGAACCGATAAGATAGGTGAGGAACAGAAAGATAGGAGGGAACAGGAGTGACAGTAAAGGTCATAAGACTCGTTACACCATCCCCGTAACCTAGCAAGCCGAAGCTCGTGCAAGAAAATAGCAAGTGAAAGTAGACTTTCCATGTTTGCGAGGGTAGAAAGCAGGCAAAGAACCGTCGCGAAAGCAGCATCCTGAAAGCCGTGTTCCGCGCGAATCACCGAATCCTCCAACTCGCTTCTCTCTTTCTTTCTCTTTATTACATTGTTCCATGTGAAAGCTCGAAAAGGAAATATCCCTATCGGCTAAAGTTTTTCAAGAGCGCGACTGTTGGTCAGTAGCTCCCTCGTCAGTCTCCACACCTGTTTGGCCGCGTTCTCCAGCCCGCTAGGCGATTTCCCTTTAAAAAGATCCAGATTAGGCAGGAAATAGTGCGGACATCTTCGACATTGAAGACAGGATATCAGCTGTAGGAAGATCCCGTTAATACGATCTGCCAAACAACCCTCGTCCCACTCGGTCTCCAGGGGATGCTTCTCGCATTCGTACAGCAGCAAGGTTTTCATGTGATAGCTAGTCACTGGATTTCCGGGAAGATCCAGGTGTCTGTCTCTCAACGTTTTCAAAATACTCAGACATCGTCTGCGACAGCCACCTTGCAATAACCTAGTCTCAGCTTCTGTAAAGGACAGCACCCAAGCGTCGCCTTCCATGGCAGACTGCTTCCCCTGGAGCGCCACGCTCTCCTTCGATAACAGATCGAACCCCTCTGTCTTCACCTCGGCTACCAAGTTCGGATGAGGCCACGGTATGTGAGGAATAGGCCAATGCGCCGCCGATCTTGGCCACACGCCTGAACATTTGAACGCTGGCGTGATCTGAACCACGTATCTCTCTCTGATACGAAGCTTCACCTCCGTCGTGTCCGCTATCATCTTCACCGAGTCCCTGTAGGCGCACTTATCGCAAGCCTGTGCTACCAGCGTCTGAAATCTCGAGCGGATCTTTCGCGCCGACAGGTAGCCAGAGGCGGTGATGAACTCAACCCAAAGCGACATGGACCTCTTCCGTCCGTCGCTGAGCTTCAGCACCGCGCAGCCCGGCAGGGTGCCGTCGTCGACGAAGTTGAACACACCCATCTGATTCAGGTAGAGGACCACCTCGAATTCCCCCGGCGAGATCACCTCGAGGCCCTCGTAGCGACCGTTGCACTCGGTCAGAGAAGATATGAACCGCGGTTCCTGGACCTCCACCTCCTTCAGAACCTCCTGAACCACCTTGCACACTTCCCTTATGGTCTTCTGTACCTGGCCCATACGAGCTTGCACCCTTTCGCCGTAGTATTTGTTCATCTGATACAACATCTTCGACTGGGCTGCCATCATGTCCTGAGGCAGCAGCATGTTGTTCTCGTGTCTCCCGACCAATAACCCCGAAGATTCCTTATGGTAGCTTCCTCGACACCGACGAGCCTCATTCTTTCGCGTGAACTCGAGCCACCTTGACCAGTTCGCCCTTACTATCCATGATCTCGGCTACCTTTCCTCGATTCCCTGAAAGTCCGATGGATCGGCAGGAGAATCAACGACGGTGATGACAGGGTGACGGTGACGAGTACGACGATAAGAGGACAGCACTTTCGAAAAGCAGTTACGGCTGAGAGGACGAACAAAGCGTGCAGGAGCGCACGGCGATCGGCGGCGGCAGGTGTTGTACGTGGAACGAGCGCGACTCGAGGTGCTCCGCGCGCGCGACGACAGAGAGAGCACCGGTGACCACCAACCCGTTCCACTGCTCCTGTAGTTGTGCGCCGATTCCCAAGTCCCGCCTCCCGGAACGGCAGGGTCACGTGGAGCGTGCGCGGTTCGGCCACGCCCCCTGTTGTTCCTCCTCTATCTCACGCGGTTCGAACGGCGACCGCGCACACACCATCGCGCCTCGCGGACTTCTCGCCCTTTCGATCCGTCCAATTTTTCATCCCGCTTTAGTTATTTACGCGGTTTCCTCCGTCGTTAACGGGGGACACGCAGCCAGGGTGGATCCAATCTATGGGGTTAGACAGTGTGATACTCTTCAGGATGGCACTGTGCAAATTGTGAATAGGAAATTGCATCGATCTGACGGAAGTATCTGTTTGAAAACGTTCGTTGGAGTTTAGGGTGCGTTTAGTAATGGGATAGGTGTCGCTGATGAAACCGTGAAGTTTGGGTGTGGAGAAATTTTGAAGAGGATAATGAATTGGTTTCGGATGTTATGAGTGTTGGGGCTCAGAGTACTTGATTCGCTGAGTTCAGGGAGAATTTAACCTGGTTAAGGATGGCGATTTTGGATTAGGTTTGGGCGTTTTTACGTATACGAAGATAATGTTTTGTGTTTTGTGAAGTAGTAACGTTTCAAAAAACTCACAGTGTTGTATTTAGAATGCGATTCACGATCATCAGTTGAAACCTTTACGGGATTTTATGTTACACTTAATTTTTTTGTTTCTCATGTACTTACTCAATGAAAATGCAAAATACGAAGCTACTACGATCTGCATGTGCCATGAATTCCTAATTAAAACACTTAACCTGTTCCATTCTAAATTTTTACACTCTCCACACACTATTCAACCACGAACAATTACATGGCGAGAGAGTGAACATAAAAGTCACATACAGCGTGCATTAAGAACGTTGGCGTGCAATCACGCTGTCGAACAGCAGACACATAAATACGTCGGAAGAACCATAATTCTTTCTCACGTGCTCGCCAGTTGCTAATGTCAAGGAGACATCGATGCGCCTCGGTACGACGTATCAATTCATCGGCTCTCTCGTAAATAAATTCCTAGGGTAGATGCGAGCCACGCGAGAAGGTATTGTCTAAGCGATGGGGTCACGGGAGGATTCCACGCACGATCGTTCGAGCCGATAATTCCATCGTGAGGGTCATTTGAATGTTCGACGTTCGAATAAGAAGCAGAAGGTTCGTGTTCGCTCGCGAATGAAAAAGCAGCCCTCGCGGGTCGCAACATGGCGACCGCGCGCTGCAGATGTTCCTGAATAAGAGTAGCTAGCGGACCGCCATTCGGAAGAAATACCGATCTGTCGTGAAATATACCGTTTTTCCGGTAGCCTTTTATGCGTTGATCGTAAAAGATCGCGGCGCGAATACCTGTGTCCGAAAATACCGATAACCAACCGAGATATCCCATACGTCGAACGTTCCGTGAGATTCTAGAGATTACAGATTCCGTATGACGAGTCATGGTCCAGGAGGTTCTTCGGGGTTCTCCTTTGACCTTCTTAACCCTTTTGTTATCGGGGAAATCTAGCGACATGTTGAAGAAGGTTTATTCGGTGAATAGGAATACGTAGCTTTGAGTTAGGTTAGGATACTGATGAAAGGTAGGAAGGGATGCTTATGGTTATGGGGTTTGAGCATTTGGGAATTTGTACGTGATGTATGTAAAAAGTCGAGGATGTTTAGTTTCTTTTACATTTAAGGTTAGGGTTGGACCACTGGACTTATATTTGTCCGTCTTTAATCTCAATTTATGTCTTGACATTTTGCCCAGAGTACTTGTATGTGACTAAAATGCCTTTAATATCTTTAATAATATACATATCGTGGTTATCAATTCTGACTGCTGAAGTATTAACATAAATCTTACTTTCATCTCTAATTTTATTAACAATATATCTAATCTCAAAAACTTCTGACATCACGTAATAAATCAACGAACTGAATTCCAAAAATCTGTCATGGACCCTATTCCAGAACATTGTACCATTAAGGGTGCCTGGAATTTTTCATATGTAAACAAAAATAGTTATAAAATAGTTAGCTATTATGTAATTAATAAAAAATAATTAATTAACTTTTTACTTTCAAACACCGTGTTATTTTTCACTCGAATAGCAAGGAATTTAGATTTTATACCAATCTTTTATTACGGATTATAGCAAAGAGTAGGGTTGTACAAATCACGTGGTTCCAGAAAGAACGTTCTTTTTTATCCAAAAGTATTAATGTCTAGATAAGACACATAGTGTACGAAGAAGATATAGCAGATGTCGTTGTAACTGTAATTGTAATTGATTGCTCATCGGTTGTTTATCTCTCGTTTCATTATCGACTGCTGGTAACTCGTAACTTAGCTGTTGTTCAACAACCTATAGTAATAATTTTACTACAACTAATATCGTTTTATTTATCAATGGAAATATGGTTTATATGAGACACAATCAACTTTGCTTATATTTAAACTTATATACACTTCTTAATGGCACGGTAGTTCGATCGAGAAACAGAGATGAACAACAAAGCAAGTGAGTACACACGAATCACGTGACAGTATATGAATAAATTGGCTTATTACATAATAGATATCGCGATTAATATAATATGTATATATTCCAACGAATTTTAATCCCGATTTCCAACCGATCCCGTATACATCGTTGCACGAAACGAAACGAAGCGAAGTAATCCATTACCACTGATTACTTTCCATGCACGAAGGCGTTTCTTCTGCTCGCCTCAGATCCGCCTCGTTGCTGGATAATCGAATAAAGTTCAGAAATCCAATCTACTCGAAGTTGGAGTGGTGGATCGGTGCCCACCAGGCCTACTATGCCCTCGCTAATGCGACTTGATTCATGAGCCGAGCACGTGCATCTCTTTCACCCTCTCTGTCTCACTCGCGGTCTCTTTGTTTCCCTCCTTTTGCGTAAGGAACGAAGGGTCAAACGTTCTGCTACGTCAGCTCTCGCATTAATGCGGAGGCCTGTGCCCTAAACGCGCCTTTCATCATCTCGTTTCGACATAATTCGTTTATCATCTGAATTATTTGTACACCAACGAGATAACCGGGGTTCAGCTTCCAGATGACGTCAGTTGACACGGTCTTTCGGACGGTGGCGCTATGGTGCGTTTCTTGGTCACGTGGGAAAAGATGAAGGATAGATTTGGTGAAGAAGAGTGAACAGTAATTGGGTGTTTCAACATTAGAATTATTGATTCCAATGCAGTCACTTTTGATGAAACCAATTTTGAGTTTTGTTCAAATAGTAATTCGAAATGTCAATTCGAATTGGAATATCATCGCATAAGTGATGCAACACTTGTATTCGTTGGGTGGAATATTTTTGAGTAATTGATTTTTTGATATTTAACGCTTCATGTTCGATTCAGCGAGAAATACTGTTGTATATTTTTATCCAAATGCTGGCAAGGTATACAAAGTCTTACATAAGCAGGTATCTAAAGCGGAAATTTCAACTCGACCTAATTCCAATTCTCACACTAAACAAAGGCTCTCAGCAGAGCACTCTCGTAGTTCACGAAGGCCTTCGAGCAAAAGCTTCTAAGATCGTTTCCGGCGACTGGACCTCCACTCGGCTATATCTAATGTCTCGATCGGGCCCTGGAAGATCGGCTGCCCCAAAAGAGCAATCTATGGCAAGCGTAGTTTTGCCAAAACACCCCACTACGAAGTCTCCGTTTACGCGGCAGGTATAAGAGCCTCCGTCAGCCTCCTATTGCGTGGCGTCTCATTGTACAAGCTTCTCTGACGCATAGAAACGACGATAAGTCTCTCTCATCGCAAGAAGCAGCCTGCCAAGGTACAGGCGGCCTTGTAAATCAGCTCGAATGAACATCTTCGCGTAATCCCTAAATAATCCGGGTTTCAGTCGCTGAGCCCAAACAGCCGGCAGAGCTGGAGAGGCTCACTGCGTATTTCACGGTCTCCTTGGTTAATGACACGAGTAGACGCCGATCTCTCGATTCGATCTGGATGAACGAGACCATGATGCACCAAGGAAGTTACGTACGATGGATCAGAGGTCGAAGATCTTCGTGAAACTACCGTGACGAGGAAACCCAGTTCCGTTTTAGGCTCAGTGTGTTGCTTGTTATGTTATACTTTGCAGAAGAGTGTATAGATTGGTGCAGATATACTGAAGTACATGTACTTCTTTGAGTATTCTTTGAGTTTGTGGTAGAATTAGATAAAATCGTTATTGATATTCCTATTCGATTGCCATAATTATTGATCGAGATAGATTATTGCACTAACTATTAACTATCGGTCTCAATAGATGGCAGTGTTGCTGCTATCTCTCTCTCTCTCTTACCATTAGACGACCATTTTTTAATTTCTTATATGAGGGGTTAGAAATCGCGTTGATAATTAATTAATTAATTAATATCACTAGTGTACTCTCATGTATCTATTTTTAATCCATTGTGCAAAATATCCACTGATGTCTTCTGGATATACCAATGACTATTCTCCTCTTAATAATCCTCCAGCATAAATTCTGAATCATGCTAATTCCATTTGTAAATGGTATTTCTATTGCTAAAAGACGTCAATGAAAATATCTTCCTAATGTTAAATTCTCACCAGCATCTTTCGAATGTGTCACCAATCTTCCCTTAACAATGTTCCACCAAAAGAAATTGTTCTCGAGCTAACGAGATCCACCTGCCAGACAAAATCACCTACCCGAACGAGCCTCATCGAATTAATACTACTTTGCGCGAC